CCACAGCCTTCCCAACAAAATGTGCCCAACATGCATAGGAATCACATCACACATCACTTCATCATGATGCATCATAATTGAGAAATTCACCAAAACTTGTCTACTTACCCTAATCTCTCCACATTCATCAAACCACTGTAATTTATAAGGCTTAGGGTGTTTTATCGTAGTCAATCCTAATTTTTCAATAGCGTAGTACTAAAAATATTAGTACAACTACCCCCATCAATAATCAAACTAGATACCTTACTTTTGACATGGCATCTAGTATGAAAGATGTTCTCTCGTTGTTGCTATTGAGATCACGCATCACCCTGAGTAACTCACCTCCTAGCAAGTACTCTATTCCATCTCGATCATTAGCATCATCTAACATGGCATATCATCACCATCACCATCACTCACTACTTCTCCATTATCACGCAAAATCATTGCCCTTTTGTTTGGATATTGAGAAGCAATGTGACCCGATCCCAAACACCTAAAGCATTTGATATTCGAGTATTGGAAGGTTGGGAGTCCATTTTAGGAGTAATTTTGCTAATAACTTCTCCATTCTCCCTTGGTGGTTCGGTCTTACTACTCGAAACAACCCTTATCACCTCTATTATCATCTTACTTCGATTTTCAAGAAGAGTTCCAAGAAGAGTTATAACCCAATGTATATCTACTTGCCTGTTTCTTCTTCAACTGCTTTTCCACCCTCATAGCTACATGTAGCATGTCTTCCAACTACATGTAGCAACTCTACCACATTATCTATTTTCCTATTCAAACGATTTAAAAACTTGGCCATGGTGGCCTCCCTATCCTTCTCAACATTCGCTCTAATCATAGCAATCTCCATCTCCTTATGATAATCCTTCACATTACAAGAACCTTGGTAGAGGCTTTGAAATTTTTGATAAAACTCCCTATAATAATTGTTAGGCACGAACCTCTTCCGCATGATAGCTTTCAATTCTCTTCATGTATTAATAGGTCTCACATGATTTCTCTTCCTAGATGTTTGATCCCACCAAATGATAGCATAATCGGTAAATTGAAGTACCACATCTTACCTTTTTTTCGTCCGAGTTGTTGTGACAATCAAATATCAACTCTACTTTATTTTCTCATTCCAAGTATACCTCTGGATCACTCCTTCCTTTAAATGAAGGAATTGTTATTTTGATATTGCCCATACTTCTATCAATACCATCTTCAATAAGATCTCTACCCCTCATTTCATGCCTAGACTATCATTCATTCTTCCTAATTCTACATCCACCAATGCATCTTCATTAATGTCACTATAGCTTCATATTCACCAGCAAAATCCGCTCTATGATCCCGCCTACCTCGCCTCCTTGTGTTAAGAACTTCTCTAATTTGTTCACTACGCAAATGAGTAAGCAATATGTCTTACCTCTCAATCCACGCCTCTTGCATGTCTATTCAATCTCCCATATCACCAAACAACCTTTCAAATCATCGTAGCACCTCCTCCATCATGATGACTTGGCTATTCTTCCAGCTAGAAGTATAATCTTCTATGTCAGACATCCTAAATCTAGTTTAATATTTACCTCACGTGTGTACACTCGTGTATTACTCAATTTAGCTTTTCCCTCTATTAGTCTCACCACTGTCTTTTTTCACTCAATATTGTTTTGCAAGTGCTTCAAAAATTAATTCAATCTCAATCAAAATTTAACCATTGTGGAGTCCAAACAAATGATTGAGTAAGGAAAATGATATAGAATGATTTAATAAGATAGAAATTTGAATTTTGAATGAAACGCTAAGGATTCAAGAAAATATTTCTTGAATTTGAATTGAACAATTTTGAATTTGAAATTTTTTTTTCTCAAAAAAAAAAAAAAGAAATTGCATGTTACTGGGAGTTTTCCGAATTTTCTTTTTTTTTTTTCTCGAAAAACCAACTTAGATACCAGTAAAAGAAAAAAACTAATTTAGATACTAAATTAGCACACAGAAAAGTTTTGAAATTTTATAGATTGGAGATGAAAAATTGAAGAACGTGAAGAATACGGAGAATAAAAAAAAAACTCAAAAAAAAGAAAGAATATAACCATGATTTTTAGAGTCTTACTCTGATACCAACTTATATGAATCCATGTAGCAATTGAAACTACCAAACCCACGGCGTATTAGATCAAACCTAAGAAAGCTAATAATCACGTTTGAAAGCTCGACCCAATAAATTATTGAATAAAAAAATCAAAACAATCACCAACAATATCTTGACCCCGTGATCACAAAACTTATAAACCTTACTTAAATTGATAAATGCCTCAAGAATTTAATTTTTGATAAGTTCAGAATTAATTGAATGAAGAACAAGAAGAAAACAGTAAGTCTTGTAATAAATCTCTCAATAATTGTCTTCTTTACCATGAATGAAATGAGTCATATTTATATGGAACCCAAAAAAACCTACTTAAAAACAGAATTAAGCCTTAAAAGATATTAAAAAAAAAAAATATCATACACCAGTTTTAATTAAAATAGAATATTTCGCAAAATTTGAAAAGTTCGTGGTCGGAATTATACTATGTGGCCGCATAGTGTAATTCTATGCGGTCGCATATACCATTTCTGATTCTCCTCTTTGGGTTTAGTAAAGGGGCATGCAACCTGAACAACTATGCGGCCGAATAGTTGTTCCTTACTGTCTCTTCGTCCATTGCTTGAATCAAGTTGCTCCACTTCGTTTCAACTCCAATGCCCAACATGAAACTTGTCATGTTGCTCGCCGTGAACAATGTTTCATCCATCGTGGTTTGAGCAAGTAGTTTCATTGCTTTTTTGAATTTGCTTTGGCTGTCTGAGCGTGAGGACTGAGGGAGCACGACTTAATTTTCAACAGGAGAAGTTGAAAACTTACAAGTGAGTTTTTATTTCTTCAACATATTTTTTCTTCAATAATTTCTCTGAATATTCAAGAAAATATAAATTCATTTTTAATATTTTTCAATGTTCTGAAGATGCCAAGATGGGTTCATAATTTATAATTACTAATTTAATAAATGAAATCAATTACTTGTGAAGAGATTAACTGGACAATGAACAATTTTCAGTCGTATGTTCCATTCACACCCATGTTATGTTAATTTCAATGGTCAATCTGTGTACTATGATAGAATCATTAAAGGGAAATTGGGATTTGGAAAAGTTTCTGAAGTTTTGAATTCAGGCCAAGAAATTCTTCTTATGGGATTCTGTTGCTGGGATTGATGTTAATGAAGAAAATAGGTCCAATGTGATGATTGAATTTTATGTGGGTGCTCTTTCGCAGAAACTACCGGCAGACGAATTTGAGACTATTCCAACTTGCAAGGTTAAAGGGATTCAAGATTCTTTCTCTTACCTGGAAGCATCAATTTGAGGTAAAAGTTGCAATCTTTATGTTTTAAATTGGTTTAAAAATTGAGTTTTTAAGGTTTATAGTGTGTAATTCCATCCATAAACAAAAAAATTTTGTTTGATGATTGGATTTGAATGAATTCTTAGATTGATAATGACAATAATGTTATCAGGTTGAATAATGTAATTATCTGCTGATATTCCTGGTTAATTTGTCATGGTTTTGGATTGTAGATTGATTTGAGTATTATTGACTATTGTTTTTATACTCGTACTAAGTTGTCCTAATCTTTTAAAGGATAACGCATACCGAGAGAGGTGAGATTACACAATCATAAATTTGGGCAAAGTAGTTGGTAAGAACTCTGATAAATTTGTAAACATAATTGGAGCCATAGTAGGAGAACACGTACTAGTTAAAATTAAAAATTGGCCTTCAATGGATGAAAAAAAAAAAAACTTTGAAATTTCACACAGGTGTAGTTGTTAACTATAACTTCTTTAATAATAACTATTTGTTATATCATTTCTTTATCTTTCATATTTCAATGACACAATTCTGAGCACCTAAGAACTGTACTTATATAAAACCCACCTATTCAACAAATTAATATAAAATTGTAAATATGTACTAAATATTAACATTGGATTGCATAATATAAATACCCCATGTTTGTGTATACTAAAGTCATTCTAATTTATTCTACATATTTGCAGGTCATTTATCATTACTGAATTCTTTCTTTCTGGAGAAGTTTGAGAATTTTTAATTTAGACACATCAATCAGGTTCTACTGCTCTTTGCTTATAACTATATCTACACGAAAATTTGAATTTGGATGTGCCCAAAGAAAATGAAGGAAAATATTGAAAAATTGATTAAATTTCAAGAGGGAGCACTTGATAAGTTTTTTAGTAGTAATAAACGAACACATAACGAAGACATAGTCATTGAAGAAGAGTTTAATGAGAACGATAACAGAAATAATACAATTGAAGAAAAATATTGTTTAATGAATGAAGATGTATCTACTGATAGAGATCATGAACCATTTTCATGTGACCTTATTGATCCAGTAAATTGGGGAAATATGAATACAAATTTAAGAGATTTAATTGTCATGAAAGGTCCTGCAAGAGAAAATGATGTCATTTTTCTGAAATATTTAAATTTTGTTAAAGTCTTCTTATTAATATAAAAGTGTTAATTATTTAAATATTTAAATTTTATTACAACTGTGAAAAAATAATTATGTTGAAGAGCCTCATAATAATGACTGCCTAGCGGTCTAGAGCCTCTAAATTCTCAAGACCGGCCCCATCAACGATCAATGGATCCTTACCTGGACTTGTTCTCGTATTATGGACCACATCAGGTTTTGTAGAATATTTTTAGGTTTGTGAGTAAATCAAGTTGAACATTGCTATAAGGTATCCAAGAAAAGAGCCTTTGAGGGCATTTTTCAGCTATAGCACAAGGGAAACTCATCTAGCATTAGATGAGAAGTTTGTAATGTGAACGACACTTGCTGAGAAAGTGCTTCATCGGAAGGTCCCTGTTGAGGAATATTCAAACCAGAAGCATCTAGAGAGCTTCTGGGTCCTAGATTCTTCTACAGTGAACTTGAAAAATGATTCTAGTTTTACTACACAGAGCATGGGTCCTTGTTTATATGACTTCGATTGCAAGATTATGGTCCGGTGGGGGTACCGGGAGACAAGTGAAATACCTGGGTAGGCACAAGCCTATAATGCGGCCACAATTGAGGGTGGAAGCATGGACGAAGATAGGGGATACTGGGCTACTGGATCACCTCCTTAAGCATATGGCCGGAAAGCTTGCGTTGGGTGGAATAGAGACGTTTGGAAGGCTGCATAATGCTGATGGAGCAATGGACTATTGGTTAGAGAGTGCTGATCTTGTTAACATTCGAAAAGATACTAGGGTAAGTAACCGACCTATATGGGGTGCCACCACCTGGTTGGAATTTGGAAGCCTGGTGAATCTCCAACTCAGGACCCAACTTGTGCTAGAGATATAAAGCTTGTGAAGGATGGTATTTATTGAAAAGGTGAAACAATCTGCCATCCTCTGATGTTAGTAGTTTTGTTTAATTAGTAGTTTATTTTTAAAAAAATTGATGTTAAATGGGCTGAGATATGGAGCTGATGGCCACCAAGATCCCATTGGAGGATGAAGTTGGAAAGTTAAAGAAGTGGTACTTTTTATTAGAAATGATATTGAGTCTAATTCATCCAAACAAAATCGGTTTGTTAGGGGAGGATTGCTCTCACGTTATTAAGTGGATCGTGTAAATACCATCAGTCAATGTGGAACTCTAATACACCCCCTCACACACAGCGTAGACTATGCCAAACAACTGTGAACAAATCGATATTGGGTACACCCAACATTGCGAAATTGTGCTTGTTCTGATACCATATTAGAACGGATATTGGGCCTAACTCAACCTAGGCCCAATATCTTTTCTAATATGGTATCAGAACCCATTAAGTTTTAACAAGTAATTCGATCCGATTACGACTCAAAAAATGAGCATACGGATTTCAAAATTGGTCCGCTCAAACGAGTCACTATCTTGAGGGAGCATGTTAAGGGATAGAATCCCACATTGAATAAAGATGAAAATATAGACCAATTTATAAAGAGTTTGGACAACTTCTCTTAATAAGGTTGACCTTTTAAGATAGAATCTCAATTCTTAACACTCTTATCTTGCATACATGGAGAGAAATGAGGACAGTCGAATGTAATGTCACTGGTGTGGGGTGTCTCAATCACTATTGTCGATCTAGATGGTCTGAGTAAAGTTATAGCTAGGCCAACCTAGGTGTGCTACCTCGGTTTACACACTAAGCCCTTGTTTGGTTCAGATGGAAATCGGATTTTTAGTAGATTTTGATAAAAGTTAATGGACTTTATGGTTGAAAAGTTGTGAATCTCATGAAATATATAGCTAAAATTAATTGTTGACTTTAATTTAGATTTTAATTAGTTGAACCAAACATCGGCTTAGTTGTTTCCCTTTGTGTTCTGATGTCTATTGGTTCTGTTGCATTCAAGAACATAGGGATGACATGTTATCCAAAAAGAAAGAAGAAGAAAACCAAGCAATTGAAGTTTCATCATGTCCTCGTGGCATCAGTCAAAAGCTGAATCAGCTTGTTATGAATTCAAAGCCTGATATTGATAGTGCACCTGCTATTTCACTACTGGTATTTATTTCATGTAAATGCTATTTTGCACATTAAGCCTCTTTCAAAAAATTCATAAATGGTATATAATGAGAAATAACAGAGAATATCACGAAATGTGTGAATAATAATTAGCAGTTGAAAAATATAAATGTTTAACTTCAGCCGAATTTTCAAATCTCTTTCCAAACAGAGGCTAAATCATGTTTCAATTATTAGATACTATATCAAGTGCTTATTTTTGGCAAGAAAAGTTAAAGGAACAAGTCATGGTCATCAGTGGCGAACCCAAGGTTAAAGTTCAGCTAGGGCGGAAGGACCTTTACTGTTGACCGTTGAGGCATTGACCGTCGACAATCACCGATCGTATTAGCGATGTCGTTTATTAATATTTGACTAAACCTTAAAATCCCACTCCACTACTACACAAATAATTTGAAATCACATAGCGATGGCATACCATTTCATAATGCGTTTCTTCACTTACAAATGCAGAGTTAAATAATGCATTCTGACTTTTGAGAATAATATGCTGTCTGCATTTATTAACTCAAACATGAAAAAAAAAGGAAAACCTCAAAGGATGCAACAGGAACCAGTCACCAGCATTTCCTTGTGTGATGTTTTGCTAGAATTCATAAATTAACCAAAGTTAAAGCATTCCAGGATCACTAAGGCAAAAATTCCTATAAAAGCTAAATATACACCAAGTATTCCTAGGTTCCCTCCCCTTTAATGATTATTGGTATCACTTGGGGTCAAACCTAAGTTCCAAATTTGAGTAATATAAAGTGATTTCTATTCTTCTAGTTTTTTTATGTGGGATGGTCATTTTTCAATTTTCCACCAATTTTCATTCACAATTTATTTCAACTTCAATGTGTCATCTTTTGACTTTAATTTCTCGTTCACTCTAAATTGATTTTGAAAAAATAAATACATTATATTAATCTACTCATAGAGTAGAACACATTCGACCAAAGAAATATTTTATCCAACTAACATGACCACTAAAATAATTAGTCAAAAGTTGGTTAAACCAACTAATTTAACCAATTTTTTCCAACAGTTGCCACAATTTTCAATTTACTGCCTCCTCCTTCAACATATCGCCAACTAGTAGGGAGCTTAATTTATTTGACAATTGCATGATCAGACGTCTCTTATGCACTAAACTTGATGAATCAATTTATGCATCAACCTAGACATTTGCATCTTGTAGTAGCTAACCGTATTCTCGCTATTTGCTTGGGACTTCTAATCGGGAATTGTTTTACAAGATTGAATCTTCTCTAACTCTTTGAGCTTACAATAATTCCGATTTAGGAGGCACGGAGTCACATGTGTAATTCGAATACGATACTATATGAATATATCGATACAACTTTTTTTAAGAAAAATTAGAATATGCGAATACGTGTATATATAAAATTTAGCGTAATTTCATTGTTATAAAATGATTAAACAAGAGCACGATAATAAAATTAAAATAAAATAGTAGAGCATTTTTATCTTAATCTTTAATTGTCCCAACTCTTCAACATCACCAACATCAACTTTTTCGTTATTATTAAATAACAACCTCCAACATTGGCTCATCGAATGGTATATTAGCAATATCAAGCAGTCCAACACCTTTAAGAGCATCAAATTAATCTCTGACAATATCCCACATTTTGAATTCTTCTTTTGAATATAGATTTAACATTGTTATCTATTTTTAATAATAAAAATATATTTGTCAATCATTAACACTATTTTACATGTATTAAATGATTTAATATTATTGTATATTTCCAATGAAAAACTTTGTTTTCAATTAAATTAAAATTCTAGTTTTCTATTTCAATAAATATTATCTATTTTCAATAAGTTATTGATAATAATACTAATAATAATTATCTATTAAGTATTTTTTTTGGCCAATCTATAGACAATAATAATGAATTTTTTAAAAGTTTAAAATTAATAAATTTCTTTTTCACGTGTCCTAACATATCCGATACGTATCGAAAACAATTAAAAATTACGTATTCAATATATAATTAAAAAATCACGTATCCAATACGTATTGAAGCGTATTAAAGAGTATCCAATCTTGATATGTATCGAATATGTGTACCCAATGAATTTACAAGCATCCGTGCTTCTTAGATTTTGATTGGGCATGATCTCCTAATTTAAGATGCTCATCTACAGGTTGGTGTATTTATCTTGGAGAAGCTCTCATTTCTTGAAGTGTAGAAAACACGAGCGAGTTTCCAATTCTTCTACCAAAGCCGAATATAGAGCAATGTCATCTGCATGTTCAGAGGTGGTTTGAATTCGTCCACTGCTTTCGGAATTGGGATTTACTGAGACTAATTCTGCACCTCTTGTTGATAATATGAGTGCCATTTGAATTACTGTAAATCGCGTACTTCCTGAAAACTAAATATACAGAGGTTGATTTTCATTCCAATTGCTTCATGTCCCAGCTGAACTTATATTGCAAACATATTTACAGTCTTTTTCTCAGAACACGACACAAATTCTTAGTTTGCAAATTGATGCTTGTTGACTCATTGACATCAATTTTGAGTTGAGCGAATTAAAGAAAAAAAAGAAGATGAGGGACAGTGGAAATACATAGTACAAGTTCAATGACCACTAAACAGTGCATAATGTCCTGTACCACAATGTAGTGTGTACTCGTACAAGCAGAATATACTCTAAACATAAAAATTATTTAACACCAATTTAGAGTGAGCTCCAGCTGTCGACCAGCATCCCCTTCAGCCCCATTACGCGTGATTTCTAGTGCCCTCACAGGTGCGGGAAGTAGATGCCTGGGGCCCCTAGGTCAAGTTTCCTCAACTTTGGAGAACTCTCACCACCCATCCACCCCAAAGGATGAAGCTCATCCTTGACGGGTCCCTAACTGCATTTTTCAGCATCAGTTTTGACTCTAGGTGCACTCTTTCTCGTGTAAACACCAGATAGTCTATTTCAACGTAGCAACAATCACGAAAAGGCGAAGAAGATGTATATAGTCCAAGGCATAGATGATGTTCAAGCAGAACTAAACGATCTCATCAAAGCTATTGATGTTTCGAAAACCATAAAAAAGCCTCAAAAAGAATATCATACAAAGATAATACAGGCATCAGGTTGTCATGTCTATAGCAACACCATTCTTTCAACTGGAATCAATGTGATTGCATTCTATACTACTATTCTCTTCCAAACAAGTTAATTTGGGCAGTGCAGCTCTCATATTCGCCAAGGTAACCGGGGTTGTAGGTTAGGGTACAACTTTCACATCAATGCTGATAATCGACAAACTTGGCAGAAGATTTCTGTTAATGGGAGGTATTCAAATGTTTGTCTCCCAATTAACTGTAGGCAGAATAATTGCAGCCAATCTAGGGATTATGGTGGACTAAACAAAGGTATGCTCATTTGGTTTTGTTGTTGACCTGCATTAGGCCGGTTAATTCCCAATAAACTCTCTTCACTTTCTATGGTTGGCCAAACATTTTCATCAATGCTTGCCATTTCGAGTCAGGAATTTTCTTCTTTGGAGGATGGATTGTAAACTAATTATAATGGAATTTGTTTTCATGTTATCACTAGAAAGACAGAGAATTAGCCAATTGAACAGATGATAGAATCTAGAAAAAACACTGGGTCTGAAAGAAAAAAAATGCAGGAAACAAGAAGGAGCTGATTGGCAAAACAGATGGAGCATAAGATTCATTCCTCATCAAAATACCAAAATGAAATTTAAGTCGATATATCAGTAGAAATTAAACTAATCGTTACATGGTATTCCAAATCTTATCTCTCTCTATTATGTAAGCAAGTCAGAAAATACTCAATACAGTAAATTAAATTTTGGAAACTCGTGCTGGTATATATGCTGGTTTCATTATACAGAATACAGAAATCACGCAGCTCTGATTATCCATGACAGGAAAATAGAAGCATAAATGTTTTAGTCAACATACCTTTGGTGTAACACACTATAATGCATATATATTAGCAGGATGGACTCATTTTCAAATAATCAAATGAATCATTCTTTTTCAATCATACTCTTTTCATAATCTTGATTACTAGGAACAAATCTTTTCCAGAAAGTATGCTCCCCCCATATTTTCTCCATTTTCTCAATAGGAATATTCTTGGTTTCTGGCAGGAAAAAGTAGACAAATCCAGTCATTAATGCCACCCATCCCCCAAAGAAGAAGAAAATTCCAGACTTCATGTGGCAAAGCATAGCAAGAAAACCTTGAGCAATGATGAATGTAAAAAGAAGACTTGTAGCTACATTAATACTTTGTGCTGCTGACCTTATTTCCAGAGGAAAAATTTCACTTGTAACAACCCATCCCAATGGTCCCCATGACAAACTAAAAGCAGCAACGTATACACAAGTTAAGATCAAAACCAAAATGCCAAACCCTTTGCTTAATTCTCCATGATCCCCCAATTCAGCTGCCATTATTGCTCCAATGAACATTTGTGTAACGAACATTAGAATCCCGCCCAAGATAAACAAAGCTCGTCTGCCAAGTTTGTCGACTATCAAAGATGATGCAATAGTCGAACCTAAGCCCACGAATGAGAGCAGTGTTGCTGACAACAGCGATGCAGTTTCTGCTAAACCAATTGTTCGAAAGAGTACTGGAGCATAGAACCCGATCACATTGATTCCTGTTGCTTGTTGGAAAAAGGGAATTGCTATTGACATGAAGAGCTGAGGCCTATATTTTCTTAGCAAGAGATTCTTCAATGGGTGTTTGACGCGTTTTGAAGCACCACTTGCTTGTATGAGATCGTTTAGTTCTACTTGGACATCATCAACACCTCGGATTCTTTGCAGCATTCGCTTGGCCTTTTCATGATCATTTACTTGCTGAATTAGGCTATTTGGTGTCTCGGGGAGGAAAAACGCCCCAATAGTCAGAATCGCAGCCGGGGCTGCAGCCATTGCTAACGAAATTCGCCAACCCCAACCTCCTTTGATTTTAACAGCGCAATAGTTAATAATCGTGGCTATTATAAAACCAATTTTAAGAAATATTTGGAAACCAGTGTTAAAAGATCCCCTGTATTTGGATAGTGCCATTTCTGACAGATATAATGGAACTGCCTGCAGACAATAGATAATATGCAGAATGTTAACGAATTTACATTAAGTGGTAGAAAAATACTCCTTAATAAAAGACAAAAACAATTGTTTGGTTCAGGAAGCTAAATATAAGATTCTCAGAAAAACTTTTCATTTATTTATTTCTGTTTGAGCATCAAAAGGAACCATTTAGTTTTAAACAATTCATTCGGAACGCTTTTAAAGGGATTACATGGTAGGATATGTCAAAATAGCTCTTCTGGTTTTGTACCTTTTTGAATAAATATGTTCCCGAAAAATTCCATAATACTGTTTCCTGCTTACTTCATAGTATATTGTTCAGACAATATCAAAGTATCAAACTGAAGAAAAATGCCCGTAATTTGATAAACCAAAATCACTAATGGCAATTAGACTGTCTTCTACTTCTTTTCAATTTGTTCTTACGAAGCATTAGGATGTAGTGATGCACAGATCTTTGCAGTGTACTACTGAATCTGTTGTTGTTCGAAAAATTGAACACAAACAGAAAAACAGAATAATAACAAGGGATAATTGCAGCAAAAGTCTCAAACCTTTAAAACACTAGCAGACGTTCCTCAAACCTTTAATTTGTTGCAACTGTCACCCCAACCTTTCCAAACGTTGCAAACGAGGCCTTTTTGGATGATTTCTATCCAAAATGCCGCTAGTTGACCCAAAAATTGAAGTCTGACCATTTTTGACCAATTAAATGAGTATAAAATGGTAACTTTATAATATTACTATATAAAATAATTCAAATAATTAGAAAAAAATGAAAGGAAAATAAAGTTTATCTTCTTCCAAAACCAACCCCCCACCCTTATAACCAAAACCCAAGAAAAAATAGCTGCAACACGTCGGCCAACACCACCCGTCGGCCACCGCCAAAGCTTCGTTTGCGTCTCCATTGAATGTAATTTGGGTAAAGCTCTTTCATGGGAAGCTCTAGAGCCTTCCACTTTGTATTCCCTTTCCTTAAACCTCAAATTTTATCCGATTTCTCACCAAAACGAACATATCATAAAGGAAAACAACAATTCCAAGGATTTCTATCAACCCAATTTCACCAAATAATCTTGAAATTGATCGCTGAAATTCAAACTTCAAGCAACCCATAAATAGAAAAGCCCACAAAATAATTATTAAAACAGCCCAGACACAGTAAAAAAAAAAAGGTTGCTTCCCACGATTCATTTTTGCCAGTAATTCAAGAACATCACCACAAGAACAAACACATCCAGCAATGAAACAGTTACAAATTGCAAGAGAAGGAAAATATATGCAAATCCATTGAATTTTTTTTTTCCCAAAACTAAGTCCAGATTGGGATGGATATTCAGATTGAGATGCATCTTCTGCAATTAACCCATCGTGTAGGTCGTTGAGCAGCAACAGTGGGTGGGGTAGGGGTTTTCTTGTTTGGTCTATGAACCCATCATCTACTGCTTTGTCAATGAAGTTGAGGCGGTAGTTATAGTACCCATCGACATTCAGTAAACCCACCTGCAAATATATATGAATTCTATCATATTTTACTCACCATCTCTAGCATTCGGCCGCGACAGAGATGGGTTTCCTGGTTTGTTGTGGAGGTTGGGATGGGGGCGAGGGGAGGGGTGGAGTTCGGTTGGGGGAAGAAAGTTTTAAGTTTTTCCTTCCTTTTTTTTTTTTTAATTATTTTATATGGTAATATTATAAAGTTACTATTTTACCCTCATATAATAGGTCAAAAATGGCCAAACTTTAATTTTTTGGGTCAAGTGACGGCATATTTGATGGAAACCGTCCAAAAGGGCTTCACCTACAACGTTTGAAAAGGTTAGGGATGACAGCTGCAACAAATCAAAGGTTTGTGGAAAGTCTGCTAGTGTTTTAAAGATTTGAGACTTTTGCTATAATTATCCCAAATAACAATAACTAGACATAAAATTTCAAGGGAGTAAGAGACTTCAAAAAAAAGAAAAAAAACACGAGCTACATAAGTCACTACAGTACACTATCACTATTGAATTACCTGATTGGTAAAACCAAGGCCAACACCAAGCAAAACGCGACCGAGTAACAACATATAAATATTATAAGACGCTCCACCAAAGGCAGCACCAGCAAGAATTGCAGTTCCACCAATCAAGATTGATATTTTCCGGCCGAATGCCCTAGTGACTGGTGAAGAAAAGAAAGAGGCAATAAGACCAGCTATATAGAGAGAGGAAGTGAAAAGTGTCAACAGTTGGCTATCAAATTTGCAATAGTTGCTTGTCTTTGTTTCTTCCTTCATTTTTTTGTAAACTTCTGGGAAGAATTCCTTGAGAAATGATTCCATTGAGGTCAACCCACCTTCACATAAACATACAGATTTCCATCAGACACTTTAATATTTCATTTCACCAAATTCCTCTTACAACAACATATTAAGTTTTCTTAAGTTAATTCAAGAAAGTAAAGAACCTGAAATTCCAAGGTCATAACCAAAGATTATTCCTCCAGTTGCAGCAATCAGGCAAGATAACACTACAAACCCTGTAATCTTGCCAGCATATTCCCCGCCTTCACTATCAACTGCCATGGCCTTCTTCAAGCTGATCGCTTACTGCATCAAAAACTGGAAGCAAAGTTAATTATTAGAGATAAGTTCATGCACGATTTAAATAAATAAAACATTAACGTATCACTTCTATTTATGAAAATTGTACACATATCATGCCTTTGACAAAAAAATGAATCTAGTTGGCACGTGAAGAACATGTTCTACTCATTTGAACATTTTGAAAATTTGGATGGGATAGTTCATCGTGAGTGCACAAGGCCACATCCAACTTTTCTGCTGGATACCTTGATTAATATATGGTCCATGTATTGTTTTTCTTGAATCTAAATAATTAATCAAGGGCGGATCCAAGAATTTAGGAAGCAGGGGCTGAAATTTAAGAAAGTCAATATAATAAATTCATATATAACATTGAAAGTCATATTTATCTAATTTGAAATTGTTCCCAACAAGGTTTTGATTTTGAAACATAAAATTCATCTACAATAGAATCCTTGCCCTCGGACACACTATCTTTGATATTTGGGTCAACTTTTAGAACCTCTGTCTAACTGCTATCTCATTTTTTTAGGATTGCAGATGCACAGAAGACATGTCAGTTTTGATCACCACTTATGAAGGAACACACAATCATCCACTTTCAGTATCAGCTAAGGCCGTGGATTCTGCAACCTCTGCAGCTGCTGCCATGTTAAAGTCCGACTTCTCCACCTCAAAACAAGGTCTTCGAGTCTCAGCTATCTCCTCCACTAGTACTAATCTCTCCATGGATTCAACTTCAATTCCACGAATAACTTAACCAAATCCCAGCCTTTCTATTTTCCTCGAGCTTCCATCTGGACTTCCCTATCACACCCTCCCGCTGTTCTTGACCTTGCCAAACCTAATATTTCCTCTAATGATGAATTATCTTCAACCTTATTTTCTGCTATGCCCTCTACGTCTACGTGTCTCAATTTTTCATCAACGCCATCATCTTCATCTTCAACTCCAACACCCTAAAAGTAGCCTGGAATAACGAATTCCATACCCGTTCAGGGGCATTGTTCAACACAGAAACCATATAGGAGCATCGTATAATTCTCAACCTTATATCCATAGTAATGTCCATATTCTCCAGTAGAACAGAATATGCACACCACAGATAAAATTGCAGCTGCAACTAAGGGAGTTGCCTGTGACCCAACTTTTCAATCCGCATTAGCAGCAGCCATTTCATCTTTCCTTGGAAGCTCAGGCTGTAACGTTCAAGAAAATCATGGCTCGGGAAGGGAATTCTGGACAAAATTTTCATCTATATTTCCTCAACAATCCATGAAGGATGGGATTGGGTGTGCAACCTTCCTCAACCATTGATTTCCCAGCAGAAAAATTGATATCATTTTCTCCACTGACATTTTCGAGAAATAAATCCACATTCCAAACCAAATCCATTCCAAAATTTTCACTCCATTTTCATTTAACAATCATTTTAGAGGCAAAAATTCTACTGCATCTTTACAAGAAAATAGCTAAAGCCTACAATATAACTAAATCAATATGTTCATTGCTCAATACCTAATTCATTCAAGGTGATCCTCGTGTAGCACACACTCAGCTTTTCAGTCAATCTATACAAAATTCTACTTAAATGATTAAAGCAAATCGAAACACTGAACTGATTAAATTTACATATATTTTGGGCATCAGATAGAGAGACAACTGGACCTGCTAAACCTTTTGAAAAGGGTAAGTAATGCAGTAGCAAGCTTAAGAAGGGAAAAAAAAAAGCCTTTGGCCTCAATTTTTAGTTTAATGCGGCATATGTAAAAATTCAAAACACCACATCCACCCAAAAACATTATAATAAGGAAAAAAAAATCTAAAAGAGATAAGATAAAAAGCTTAGAGGTAAGCAGATCCCAGAAATTGAGCCTATCTTACACACAATTGACTGATCGAGGGCGAGCGGAGAATGCAGAGACAGCGAGAGACTTACAAAGCCCGAGGGATGAAATGTGTAGGTTTGGGGAATGGAGTGGGGGCTAATGGGTCATAATTTTTTCTTTTTGGGTTTCAATTTTTATGTTGGGCGTGGAACATGTTTCTGGAATGACACTTTTATTATTTAGAACAATGGCTGGATTGTCGACACTTGACACCACACTCGCCATTGGATGAGATTCTAGAGTTTTCGACTTTTTATCTTCGATGATACGCCTCTTTGGATCGATTATTGGCTCTCTTTCTTTCTGGCTCTTGGTTCTCTCGCGTCTATTAAAGAGAATAACCTCATTCTTTTTAGGATTTACATTCTTGAGTGATTGAATCGCGTAAATTGTATATTCTCTTAGATCTACTTCTGATTGTTGTGAAGTGAGTGTTCTTTAAGTGATTTGGGTGCTGAATCTTTTGTGATTCGAGCAGTGAATGAGGTGTTAAGCAGAACTTTGTAATCTTGCCTATTTTATGCCTTAAGGGAGTTCCATCTTAAAGCTCTTGTAAATATAAGTCTTCAAGTCCTTTTGTATTGTATTTTTGAACAGATCTTGTAACTGTTGTTGCCATATTTTGGCTATTTAGTGCAATCGAACAATATCCATTATTTGGATGCTCAATTGGGGATATAGGCGTCAGATTCGGTTGTCGAACCTCCTGGGCTTAGGCCAAAACATATCTTGTGCTCATTTTAATTTTCTGTAACTTTTACTTACTGTTCTGAGATTGATTCTTTGATATCTCGTTTAATATCGTGTGGTTTGGGCCTCTACATTTTACATATTGGAAAAAATGAGAAGTTTCTAATGGTATCGTGGTGCAGCAGATTTTTGGTTTTTTAAATCAAATTTTCGAGCTTAGTCTATTATAAATTAACGTAATCCATTATCTTTTATGTACACGAGTTGAGGATTTTGAGAGAAATAAGTCAGTCTAGCATCCTGGTACAAGCAGAATGGATACAATGTCAATACCCAACACAAAATTAAATTTAGGAAACCTTCATTACACAGAATTCAGAAAACCATGTAAACTATGATTAGAAAGTAAAAGCATCGATGCAATTTTTGGGGTAATACACTATATTATCAGGATCATGCTACCTCAGTCTTACTGTTTTCATACTCTTGACTATTAGGAACAAATCTACTCCAAAAAGTATGTTCCACCCAGATTTTCTCCATTTTCTCAATCGGAATATTCTTGGTTTCTGGCAGGAAAAAGTAGATGAATCCGGTCATCAATGCCACCCAACCCCCGAAGAAGAAGAAAGTTCCGGACTTCATTTTGCAAAGCATAGCAAGAAAACCTTGAGCAATGACGAATGTAAAAAGAAGACTCGTAGCTATATTAATACTCTGTGCTGCTGACCTTATTTCCAGTGGAAAAATTTCACTTGGAACAACCCATCCCAATGGTCCCCATGACAAACCAAATGCAGCAACGTACACACAGATTAAGATCAGAACTAATATGCCACACCCTTTGCTTAATTCTCCATGATCCCCCAATTTGGCAGCCATTACTGCTCCGATCAACATTTGAGTAACGAACATTAGAATCCCACCCAAGTGAAATAAAACTCGTCTGCCAAGTTTGTCGACTATCAAAGATGATGCAATAGTCGAACCTAAACCCACGAATGAGATCAACGTTGCCGACAACAGGGATGTACTTTCTGCTAAACCAATTGTTCGAAAGAGTACTGGAGCATAGAACCCGATCACACCAATTCCTGTTGCTTGTAAGAAGAATGGAATTGCTATTGACATAATGAGTTGAGGCCTATATTTTCTTTGCAAAAGAGTCTTAAACGGGTGTTTAACTGATTTTGAAGCATGACTTGCTTGTATGAGATCATCTAATTCTACTTGAACATCATCAACACCTCGAATTCTTTGCAGCATTAGCTTGGCCTTTACGTGATCATCTCCGTGCTCAATTAGGCTATTTGGTGTCTCTGGGAGGAAAATCGCCCCAATAGTCAGAATTGCAGCCGGACTTGCAGCCATTGCTAACGAAATTCGCCAACCCCAACCTCCTCTGATTTTAACAGTGCAATAGTTTGTAAACGTTGCCATTATAAAACCGATATTTAGACAGATTTGAAAACCCATGTTAAAAGCACCCCTGTATTTGGACAGTGCCATTTCTGATAGGTATAATGGAATTGCCTGCAGACAATAAATGATAGGTAGGATATTAACAAATTTACATTAAGTTTGCAGAGTTTAACACTCAAAAGAGAACTATTTAATTGATTGTGTAGCTGAGGAGCATACTTTTTTTAATAAAAAAAAAAAAGATTGTGGTTAGAGAGGATTATTTATATATTATTTAAATATTATTCTCAACACATCCGCTCCTTATATGCGAGATTCATTCCTTTCACATATACAATTTTTATATAAACGAGCGATTGTGAGACTTGTATCAAGGCATTTGCTTACTCTAATACCGTGTTATACTATTTGATCTAAAATTTTAATCTGTCTAAAGGCCTCGTGTAAGAATACTTTCTTCAACAGCAAAACGTCATAAAGTCATTTGATAAACCAGAACACTATGGACTGCTAAATCTTCTGGCTTTTTTTCAACCTGTTTTTAATTCAGCAGTAAGATGTACAGATCTTTGCACTGTACTATATCTAATGGTGTTGGAAATCTGGGCTCATTTACCTGTTCATTTTATAGTCTTGGTTTGAGAAAAAAGTCAGAATAATAACAATAACGCGAAGAGAAACTCAAATCGAAGAAAAGCCACGAGCTATGAAAGGTCACTACATAACACTATCTAATTACCTGATTAGTGAAACCAAGCCCAGTACCGAGCAAAACACGACCGAGCAACAGCATATAAATATTATACGATGCTCCACCCAAGGCGGCACCGGCAACCAATGCAGTTCCACCAATCAAAATTGATAGCTTCCGGCCGTAGGCCCTAGTGACCGGTGAAGCAAAGAAAGAGGCAATAAGACCAGCTATATGGAGAGAGGAAGTGAAAAGTGTCAATAATTGACTATCAAATTTGCAATAGT